CAATTAATTGATCGCCCTTCCCTTTCTAAGCCTCCTGTACCTGCTTCCAGGGTTAGATGATAGACTTGGATAAAGTTTTTTTCGTTCCGTAATTCTAGAAAAGTGCCATGAAACTTTAGAAATGAAAAAAGAAAAAAAACAAGAAAATGATTTCAGAAAAGAATAAATCAACTGAAATGAGCAAAAAACAAGAGACTGTAGCACTTTGGAACATTTTGGGGACTTCCCCAAACATCGTCCTGACACTTTTTGAAAACCCCCGTCTAATATTTAAACCCCCGTGAATTCTCAAAACCCCTTCAAATTTTCAAAACCCCCGTTAAGTTTTCAAGTTTTTTTTTAAAACCCCCGTCAAAAAATTAAACCCCCATTAATATTTTAAACCCCGGTTAATTGTTTAAAACCCCCGTTAAATCATAAAGAGCCATATCTTTTATAGAAAATGAGATAATTGAGATCAAAGTGCAATAGAACACAAGCTATCAAAAAGTATTTAACTGACAAAATGTTTATCATAATATCAACAACGTTTTATTAGTTGACAGGCTTTGTGATCTTTCATAAAAACCGAAATAAATGGGCTCAACGTGAACAAGTCGGCTCTTGCTGGCGCTGCCGACTTTTTAACTTCAAATCCATGTGTCTCATTTTTTGTAAAAGATATCAAAAAGTGGTTAACTGATAAAATATTACTCAATTCATGATAAACATTTCATCAGTTCACCACTTTCTGATAGCTTTCACAGAAACCGAGGTGAATGAGTTTGAAGTTAGACATATTTAAGTTCTAAGCGATTTTGCAACGTTTAAACAATTTCCTAGACAAGAAATTTCAGGTTTTTAGTAAACTTACTTTTTTAACTTCAATCAAAGTCACAAATTCAGATTTTCATTATTAAAAGATGTGAAGTCCCTATTTATATATTTATCCATCTAGAAATCCGTCACTTCCAGATTCCAACGTCATTCACATCTTCTTTCCTCAGATCTTAAAACTACAAGAACAGCAAAATGCCCATACTTGTAATCAGGAATACTGTATCTTATCTATGAACAAAGTTACAGATCATAAAATGGCTTTTCTCGCAGGACCCATCAGCTTTTTTTCGCTCCTTTTGCTCTGTAACTCTGTTCATAACCAAGATACAGTATTCCAAATAATACCGTTTTGTAGTACTTGTAGAGCTCTATCACGTCTGATTAAGTATGTTCGAAAACATTGATTCTGAAAGAAGTTATGGCAGGGCCCGCGAAGGCCCGGCAAAGGCCCGGATTACAAGTATGAAAATGTCCTTTTACTAGAAACAATCAGTTCAAATTAGATTCTCGTTCCTTTTTCTTCGAATAAATCAAAGAAAAATAGAAGAAGAAGAAGAACGAGGAGCATAGAGAAAAGGGATGTATGGAAATGCAGGAACTCAATTAAATATCACATTCACGCACAAGCATACAAAACCCCTTCTGTGTGTATTCTCTCTCAATGTCTCTTTTTCTGTTACATCGCTTCTTCTTCTTCTTTTTCTTCTTTTCAGCACATTCATATATATTTTTATATATTTGGTTTGGTTTCTCTCTTTTCCTTCTTATAAATACACACTGGGATTGCTCAGCAAGGATTTCTTGTGTTGAGATGAATATATGGAAGGAGAGGACCTTTAGGACAATGCAGAATTTATGTGGAATATGGAAGGAAATATATAAATTTTCGGAAAAATCAGATGAAAAATAGCAGAATCACAAGCTAGAAATTTCCTGATTTTTTAAATAGAATTGTCAACTTTGAGCCCATTTTTCTTGGTTCCTGTGGAAGATATCAAAAAGTGGTCAACTGATAGAATATTTATCATGAAATCACCTACATTTCATCAACTGACACATTTTCGATATCTTTCACAGGAACCTAGATAAATGGGTTCAAAGATAAAAGGTCGGCAGCCCACCACATAGCTCAGCAGGCAAGCGCCGACTTGTTCATTTTGAGCTTATTTATCTCGATTTCTGTAAAAGATATCAAAAAGTGGTCAACTGATAAAATATTGCTGATGTTATAATAAACATTTTATAAGTTGATAAATTTTTGATATAGTTTATAGGGACCGCGATAACGGAGCTCAAAGTTGACAGATTGAGGCTATATAAATATTACAGGGTTTACGGTATTTCTCATATGAACGAATGTTAGTCAAGTTATTAGCTAAGCTAGAAAAAATGTTGTCTAAAAAACAATTATATCTTCCTACGATTTTTCTCGATTTTCGGCATTTTTTACACTAAAGAAGTTGTCTTTTCAAAATAGTTTCCAAATTTCAAGCAGTTTTGAGTACGGTAGTTGTCGTTCTGGCCACTGGAAATAATAATTTGGTATTACTGTAGAAAACACTTTCATAATGGTAATTTTTGAGAATGTAGCTCTAAAATGGACAGAACATAAGCAATATACTGAAATTTTGATCCTAAAAATAGAAAATTCGGGAAATATTTTGAATTACAGTACCAAGATAAACATAAGTAAAACAAACTGTGATTTTCAATTGTTTTTCGGCCATTCTAACTATTTTCAGAAGTCTGGAGCTCGGCTGTCAAGTTTCCAATCACTTTGAAAATTTTGGAGGTTAGAAAACAGACCTAGATTGGAAACTTTGCATTCATAGAACTTTTTTGAAAAGTCCTAGTTTTTCAGCTAGTTGCCGATTTCTGAAAGACACTTGTTTCCTACGTTTTCAGTGCAAGACAAAGGCAAAAAATGATTGTCCTTCGAAATCTGCAAATAGCTGGAAAAATCGCAATTTTCGAAAAATTCCGTGAATGCAAAGTTTTCATTCTAGACCTGTTTTACACTTTCCAAAATTTTCAAAGTGATTGGAAACTTGACAGCCGAGCTACAGACTCCTGAAAATGGTCACAATTTTTTGATCCTGTCTTCTTATTTTGTAAAATTCAGAAGATCATGTATTTTCAAATATTTTACGCTAAAAAAATCAAAGAATAACTATTTGATTTCACTTGTTTACATTTCCCAAATCAGCTGATTCTGTCCTTATTTCTAGATCCTTGTCCTCTACATATTCAAGCGCACCTCACTAATAACTACGAATAGAGCGCACTTTCAAATAGTCGGACAAAAAAGCGAAAAATAAAATCCAAATTAAATTTTCAGCCAAAAAAAAAGGATGCGGGGAGCTAAATGAAAAAAAGAAGAGGAACGGAACGGGTAGGAGTGAGTAAGCTCGCAGTCAAGTGAAAATAGGAGAAGAAGAAGACGACGACGACGACGACAAAAAACGGGAGCACACATAGCAAAATTTCCGTGTTTTTTTTTCATTTTTTGTCTCTTTCTCTGTTTCTTTTTTCCCTTTGGCTTCGTTCTTCTTCTTCTGTGACTCTGTGTGTCGGCAGTTGAAGAGCAGAAGAGGAAGCAGTAATTATTAGTTTGACTTCTCTAATCCTCTCTCTCTCTCTCTCTCTCTCTCTCTCTCTCTTTTTTTTTTCTCTATTACAAGCTATATTGAAGCAACAAAAAAAAACAAATTTTAGTTCAGAAAATTAAAAATCAAAAAAAGTCAATCAACAGAATAACAAAAATAATAAAAATTAAAAAAAAAAGAATAATCATAATTATTTGGACGATGATGCCATTGCGTTCTTCTTTATGAGCTCTCGTTGCTTGTTGATTTCAGCGAATGCCTCCAGATGGCCGTCGACGACGCCTTCTCCTTTCGGAATCGGTACTTGACGACGACTCAGATGGAGTGGTTGGTCTTTGGCGGACAGTGGGATACGGTTGAGATACTGGAAAGAATATGATTATGGGAGATGAAGTTGGAATTCAAAAAATCAGAATCAGAATTAAAACTGACATTAGGAGTTACTGAAACTACAGTACTTCTTCTCAAGCAGAGTGTCTTATCGAGAACGAATTTTTCAAAAAAAAAACCCATTTTTCGAGAAATTCCCAAAAAATGCGGAATCTCGGAGTGTTGTTGCTGACATGTTTTTCTTTGTTTTTTGGTCATTTTGACATGGTGGCCTAATTTTTGCAATTTGAATTTTATATGCCACCACGTTACAATAGCCTAGAATTCGTTTTTTCACCAGAAAAGTCTTTCAGAGATGTAATATGCCCTTCAATTCATACACCGATCGCCTATCCCAGTTCTCTATGCTAACCACCCTTCATCGCCGCACCCTTCTAGTTCTCCGTACCTATCACAAAATTGTTATAAACTCATACCATTTTCCCTCCATGTCGTCCTACATTCTTCCCAGCCATTCTAACAGAGCCCCGTATTTGTTCAAAATCAACGGTCAATACTTTGACTGCTTCCTTCACAGAAACTTGTCTATGTGTATGTAAGGTGATAAATTCTAATAGTAAGCTCAGTCCGGTGGCGTTTGCTAAGCGAGTAGGAGCGATTCCTTATGATATTCTGATCCCTCCCACTTGACCTACAGGACTCTAGTCGGTCCGTCTGGTCATTTTACTTTTTTATTTGTTCATGTCCCATTTCTTGCCAAATTATCTATCGATTTCCCCCCATGCATTGCAAATAAATAAATATATATATTGTTTAATATTTATCTGGTGTATTTTCTGGATCATTTCAACTTGATGGCCTAGAAAATTCAACTTGCAAAAGTTAGGCCACCACTTCAAAATGGCCTAAAAACAACACCTGGGGCATCTTAGACTATTTCTAGGCCTTTTTACCATGACGACCTAGAAAACCCAACTTGCGAAAGTTAGCCTACCATGTTAAAATTGCCTAGAAAACACACCAGGGGCATAGGCCATTTCTAGGCCATTTTATCATGGTGGCCTAGAAAATTCAACTCGAAAAGTTAGGCCATCATGTAAAAATCGCCTAGAAAACAGACCAGGTAAGTATCTGACCTTTTCTACGGCAAAAAATTGGTGGCCTAAAAAAACTCAACTTGCAAAATTCGGCCACCTTTTCAAAATGGCCTAGAAATCGCGCCAGATGAATATTAGGCCATTTCTGGACCATTTAGACATGGTGGCCCAGAAAACTCAATTTACAAAAGTTAGGCCACCATTTCAAAATGGCCTAGAAAACACCCCAGAAGGATACCAGACCAATTCTATACAATTTTAATATGGTGGCCTAGAAAACCGAACTTGCAAAAGTTAGGCCATCATATTAAAATGGCATGTAAAACACAAAAACTTCACCGTACACCACCTTTCAGAAGAATACTGTCCTGCATTTCAAGCAATCGGTTTTTTTTTCAAAGACTTCGGACAACTACAGTACCTGTAAATCAACAGAATCCTCAGTCATCAGTGTCCTTCTCTGCTGATAAATCACTGCAAAAACCGTCATAAACGCATCCACCCCCGCTCGATGCAATCCCGTAACCACATTTCTCTTCTGCTCCCGAAAATCTCTCGTCAGCAGTTTCTCCTGGAATTTCGCATTTTTCCACGCCTCCTCATCAGTTCCAGTCTTTTCAGCAACCGATTCAGCCACCACATTATTATATCTTCTCTTTCTTCTGAACGCCTTCTTGTTCTCTTTAATCCGTTGCAAATCGATCGCCGCATCCACGTCATGCAACATTTTACAGCCTTTTTCAGATCGATGGGCGTGGCAGAAGCCGTGTGCGGCAAAGTATTTGCATGTGTGGATATGGAGATCAATGGGAATCGCATGGTCTGGGAATCCTTCTGGAAGACGGACGTCGACGCTTTCCGTGGCTTCTTTCAGAACCTTCATTTTGTTTTCGGGAGATGGGAAGACGATTTCCAAGTGGTACCGCTTGGATTGTCGCTCGATTTCGTTGTCTCCTTGACTAAAAAACCTTTATTATTCTGGTATGCCGTTGGCCGTGGCCGAAGGTCCCACAACGGCAACTAACGTAACCTGAGAATATTCGTATTTCTCAATTTTTTCGCTATTTCTCTGGTCTAATTTCAGTGCGCGTTGCTGCCGAAAATTCAAGAGTGTGCGGAGTTTAAGCCCGGTAGTGAAGTCCTTAAAGGAGCATGTATTTACGTTGGTGGCCTAGAAATCCAAATTTTCTAAAAAGTTAGGCCACCATTCATTTTATCAATCGGAAGCGCTTGTTTTTAGTAACACCAGTTGTTGGATTCCAAAAACCTTCGATTCACAGCCGTTTGAATCGATGGCCTAGTTTTGGATTTCTAGGCCATCAATCTTCAAATTGATGTAACTCCCTACAAAATGAACGTTTTTGAAACCTAAAGACTGTGCAGGAATTCTCTGACATCTAGCCAATGAAATTGTGGCCTAGGTTCCCGGATTTCTAGGGCATTGGTGGCCTAGAAATCCAAAATTTTAGAAAAAGTAAGCCATTTATTTCAAGCGGTTATTTCAAGATATTCAAAAATCGAGATTTTTAGGTCACTGTAGTTGTATGATCTTCAACCACGGCTACCACATTCCCTTCCACAGCCCTATATTTCTGTACCACAAAAATATAATCTTTACTCACGTTCGTCTGAAAACGTATTCCAAATAGGAAGCCTTGTATCTAGTCTGATACTCTGCTAGATACTTTGAATCAGCCACTGGCAAGTAGTCCTCCGGAAACAAATCACTCAAATTGTTCACTAATTCGTCGAGAGTCTCGGGAAGTTCCACTCCGTACATTTGCTTGTATAAAAATGCCAAATCGATGAGACCATTGTGAAGACAAAGTGTGCTTGAAGAGCCTAGCAACTCATGGAATAGCGTTTTCAGTGGACAATTGGTTCCCTGGAATTAGTGTACTGTGTCGATTATGCATATGCGATGAAAGTCGACTGAATCTCGATTAAAATCGACTTTTATCGATTTCGAATCGACTTGAATGTCCGCTAGGATTATTTGAAATGGTGGCCGATTTTTTTGGAAGTTGAGTTTTCTAGGCTACCATGTCAAAACGGTCCAGAAACGGCCTGCTATTCATCTGGTGCGTTTTCTAGACCATTTCGACATGGTGGCCTAACTTTTGCAAGTTGAGTTTTCTAGGCCATTATGATAAAATGTTCTAGAAATGGTCTGATATTTACCTGGTGATTTTTCTAGACCATTTTGACATGGTGGCCGAACTTTTGCTAGTTGATTTTTCTAGGCCACCATGTCAAAATGTTCTAGAAATGGCCTGATATTCACCTGGTGTGTTTTCTACGACACTTTGACATGATGGCCTAACTTTTGCAAGTTGAGTTTTCTAGGCCACCACGAGTTTTACTGAAATCAACAAGGAGAAGTTCGACTTTCGATTCAACTCGGCACTCTACCTGGAATTGAACACCAGATTGAATGAGACGATTGAAATCGAAAGAGTGTTTTGCAAGAAATTGAAGAGCAGATGGTTCAATTGTGAATGGTTTTTCCGAGAGTGTCAACAGATTAAAAACTTGGGTCTCGTAGCGAAGAGCCCGTCTCTTTTCACTTTTATGAGTCAGTTTCATTGTGGCGATTCCGATGGAGAGAATACTCCGGGTATGGGCGGCCTCTCGAATCGTCTTGTATCTCTCTTGCACATCTTTTGACCGTAATCCCTGTCCGCCTAGACCACTGAGTTCCAAATCGATTCCGATGAAGTCGGCGGATTTAACACAGACCAGGAGATAGGGCCAGATTTTGGAGAAGTTCTCACGATTCACCTCGATTATCTGGAAAGAAGATTTTTAAGGAAAAAATAATTTTCAGTAAAATTTTCAGAAATTTTCAGAATTACAGTACATAGGATGATCGGCATGGCGATTTCGAAAATTCCGTAATTTTGGAATTTTACGATTCTGAAAATTCCGATTTCAAAAAGGTGGAAATTTCGGAATAATTCGATTTTGAAAATTCCAGAATTTCTGAATTTTACGATTTTGAAAATTCGGGAGTTTCGGAATATTCTGATTTTGAAAATTCTGGAATTTAGGAATATTCCGTTTTTCGAAATTCCTAGAATTTCTGAATTCTCAAAATAATGCGATTTTCAAAAATGCTGAAATTTTCCGATTTCGAAAAGTTGGGATCTTCGGAATAATTTGATTTCGAAAATCCGGATTTTCTAAATTTTTGAATTCAGAAAATTGTAGAAATTTCCGAAAAAAAATGCTAACTTGAATTTCTGAAAACGGAGGAATCGAATCCGTTGACGACGTTGCTGACGACGATTCCGACTCATTGCCCGGTTGATTATCGATTTTTGAATCTTCGCTCATCTGAATTTCAATTTCAGATGTTTTTTTTTCTGAAAACTGTAAAAACGGATGTAAGTAATCCAAAAACTAGGTGAGAACATTCAACACAGCACACAAGAAAGAAAAAATTGCGAAGATTTTTTTCAAAATTTTTTTATTAAATCGAGAAAATTGGCAGATTTGTGACTCGTTGAGAAGAAGAAACGAAAAAATAAAAAAAAAACAAAAAAGGTAAAAATACTGAATTCAGAAAATTAGAAAAAAAAGAAGTAATATGTGAAGAAAAATATCCTATTGATCCTTCTTTTCACCAGCTGAAATCGAGGATCCATTTTCGTTCGAATGTCCGGCGGCACGACGATCACGAGAAGCGGCAAGGGCACGAGAGACGGCATCCCAGATACCTCCCATGAAGACAGCACAAAATAGATTCTCAATTGGACCGAATGGATCGGTGACGTGGAGAATCACGGCGGAGAGTTTGAAGTAGACGAAAAAGCCAACAATCACCTGAAAAATTGATCATAAGGCTTTCAATTCGGACTGTCGAGGCAACAGATGCGGACCGCCGACTCCAGCCGACCGACCGACTGCCGACTGCCCGACCAAGCTGACCGACCGCGGACCCCAGCCGACTCGGACGACCGACCGCCGACTTAACCGACCGACTGACCGCCGACTCCAGCCGACCGACCGACTGCCGACTGCCCGACCGCCGACCAAGCTGACCGACCGCGGACCCCAGCCGACTCGGACGACCGACCGCCGACTTAACCGACCGACTGACCGCCGACTCCAGCTGACCGACCGACTGCCGACTGCCCGACCGCCGACCAAGCTGACCGACCGCGGACCCCAGCCGACTCGGACGACCGACCGCAGACTTAACCGACCGACTGACCGCCGACTCCAGCCGACCGACTGCCGACCGCCCGACCGCCGACCAAGCTGGCCGACCGCGGACTCCAGCCGACCGACCCCCCCACTCAGCCGACCGACCGTAGACTCAGCCGACTGACTGCCGGCATAGCCGACCGGCCGAACACCGACTCCAGCCGACCTACCACCGACTCAGACGACCGTCCGCCGACTTAACCGACCGACCGGTCAGTTAAATTTCCCGACGGAATCGAATGGGAACTTACCAAGTAGATGAGATCATGTGGAGCTGTCAAATATGTTCCACTCTTCTCCAAAGCCAACACGGACGCCGCAATGACACAAGCCTTGGTGGCAAACGATGGGCGGAGCAATTCATTATGAGTTGGCAACCAGACACCACGCACCAACTGCTCCAGCGTTCTGACGATTCCCGATCCGGCACCCTTTGCAGTTCCGACCAAAACTTGAACCAGATACGATTGTGGATACAATTTGGCAGCATGAGAAACTCCATGAGACACTTTATAGGCTCTCTTCACTTCTTTCATCACAGCGAGAACACATTTGACAGGGGTGACTTTTGAGATTTTGTAGATGCCATCGAACGGAGCGTAGAATACCAGATACCAGACGATGGTGGCCAGGATGACGTCGTCGTGTCGTTTGAATGGAGCAATTACAGGTTCTCCGAGCAAGAAGTTGGCTAGGAAGGCGTCGGCAAAGCACATGAGCATCGAGGAGAGCCAGCAGGAGAGAGGATGTTTACGAGAGAAGATGGAAGCGGCGGATCCCAAATCGTCACGGACTTCGATTATCATCTGAAAGATATATACCATTCAATTTGCAGAAAAACCAACATTTTCTCATACCGTATGCCCCAAGTTTAAGCTCAATTATCTCGCTTCCTGTGGAAGATATCAAAAATCTGTCAACTGATGAAATACTTCTGATATTATGATAAACATTTTATCAGTTGACAACTTTTTGATATCTCTTAAAAGAACCGAGATGATTGAGCTCAAAGTGAATCTTTGGATTGGGACATTTACAGTATAACCATTCGTGCTCAATTTCAATTTTTCAGGTAGCAATGAGTCAAGATTTCCTAATTTTTTGTCACGCTCTTTGCTCAAGATCAGAGTCAGGTCAGTTAGGTAAACAGCAGGTTTGTTTTGTCTATGAGTCAGTAAAGATTTTGAAGTAACTTTAAACATTGATGTCAGTCACAAACGGAAGGTTTTTTTTTTTTTGGAATGTGATACTTTAGACTACCCAGAGGTGTCCAGAGGTGTTTCTACGATTGCTCACTTTATTTTTGCCGTTTTGACAAACAGATTGGGGCCACTATGGTCCATAGAACAGTACCCCGTAGGCCGTCATTTTGGCACTTTTTACTTTTCAAATTTCCAATGGATGGGGTTCCCCACACTGTCCACTTTGAGCTCAACTATCTCGATTCCTATAAGAGATATCAAAAAATGGTCAACTGATAAAATATTGATGACATTATGATAAACAATTTATCAGTAACCAGATTCTTGATATCTTTCAAAGAAAAAGATGAAAATAGGCTCAAAGTTGAAAGTTGGGCCCTTCTATTACCAAAATAGCTCTCCACAAATTTTCAACAATTTAACACGGCGTTTTGCAAGCATTGTTTAGAAAAAGCAAATAAAACGGTGCCTTTTTAGTGCCAACTTGCAAAGAACATCGACTATGGCTCTAATGACATGGTTTAGCAGATCTTACGACATACATTTGAATTATATTTGATGAAAATGAAGATACTATTCAATCACGAATCACAGATACCGTACTTCCTTTAATAGGAGTCTACCCAAGTCGTTAAATTTGAGCTGAATTGTCTCCGTTCTTTTAAAAGATATCAAAAATTTATCAACTGATAAATTATTCATCATAATATCAGCGACATTTTATCTATTGAAAATCGTTCGATATCTTTCAAAGAAACCGAGATAATTGAGCTCAAAGCTGACGTATTGGGTAGGCTTCTATTAAAGCAAATACGGTAGTCAGAATTCCTCTAATAGAGGATGAGAGAGCTGTGAAATTGAAGGAAGTCCGGCTGACTAGCTAGCTCAACTAACATAACGACATCATTATCTACCGAGCTAGCTTATAAGAATTGAGTCGCCTGAGCTCTTTCGAGAAGTCCTATGAGCCGCCGGACAGCCGTCGGGGACAGTTAAGGTGGTCGACCATTCTTGTATTAAACTCTGATTTATACCTTATCAAGGACTAACTACTAGATGCATCTAGGAACTTAGAGCAGGGCCTCATATCTCATTTCTAGACTTATTCAGACCAGAATATCCATTTCCCGAATCTTCGAAAAAAAAATTGGAAACTGTTTTCCCATAAGTACCGTATTTCCTCTAATAGAGGCTAGCCAAGCCGTCTATGTTAAGCTCATTTATCTCGGCCCCTTCAAAAGATATCAAGAATGTGTCAACTGATAAAATATTGCTGATAATGTGATAAACCATTTATCAGTTGACAAATTCTTGATAACTATTACAGGAAATGGGATAATTGAGCTCAAAGTAGACGGTATCTTTTTCTCTTTCCATCCCATCCCAAGACTCCGCCCCTTCCCTTCAATTTTCTGCCCAGTTGAACCCCGCCCATGTGACTTCGATCATCATCGTCCACTCCCAATTTTACCCATTTCAACATCTCTCTGTCTCTCCTCTGCGCAGGTTTACACACACAAATACGACACAAACAAATAGCGGCCAATTTTTGCCATCCATCGGCAGCAATTTTTCGGTCTCTCCCTCCTCCATTTTTCTCATTTTTCTAGAGAAAATTGCTGTTCTTCTGATGTTCTTCTCTCCTTTTCAAAGTCATCATCAGCACCCTCCCATTGACATCTCCATCATTATTACTTCACAATTTTTGAATTGAATCCCCACCACTCATTCACACTTTCACTTTTATTTTTCTGTTTATTTACTCTCTTTTTTGTTGTCACAATAAATCGAAAAACACTTGATTTGAGACTCAAATTTTGAGTTCTATTGATGCCTAGATTGTAGTGCTATTGTGTCACTTTTTGAACTGAAAAATTATGATGTCTATCTAGGAATCTAATGCTTTTCCGGGGTCTTTTATCATCATTTCTGGGTGTGTACGTGACTTTTTTCTGATTGACGACTTTAAGGAAAATTTCTAGGTTATTTAGGCAGAGAAATTTGGGAAGTAAAAGTTCATTTTTATGTCAAATTATACCATTTTTATAGGATACTGTAGGTCCTTCAGTATGTAGGAATAGCTTTCAGAAAATTAACATTCCTAATCTCAATTCTTCTTTTTTCCGTCTGCTATTCGACGTCATGGTGTTTGCAAAAAAAAACTGCAAAATAGAATATTTTCTAGAGTAATCTACAGTAATCTTCACGAACACTGGAAGGTCAAATTTCAGACGAAAAATTCGGAAAAATCGAAAGAGAATGTCAAGTTTGAGCTCAATTATCTCGGCACCCATGACAGATATCAAGAATCTGTCAACTGATAACATGTTCATAATAATATCACCAACATTTTATCAGTTGACAGATTTTTGATATCCTTTACCGGAATCGAGATAATTGAGCTCAAAGTGAGCTTATAGGGTTGGCTTCTGTTAGAGCATTTACGGGTATTTTTAGGGAATTTTCAGCGCAATTTACGAGCATTTTTTTCAATTCAATTTGTTTAGAGTTAGATTCTGAATCTGATTCCTACAGTATCCTGCAAAATAACTAACTCTGTGCCCTGAAAAGTCAGGTAACATATTGCCAATGCAGGCATCAAAACTACCGTATTTCCTCGACTACAAGCTCATTCAAACCATCAACTTTAAGCTCAAATATCTCGATTCCTGGAAGAGATATCAAAAATCTGTCAACTGCTCAAATATTCATCTTATTATCACCAACATTTTATTAGTTGACAGAATTTCGATACCTCTCACAGGAACCGAGAAAATTGAGTTCAAAGTTGATAGTTTAGTTGGGCTTATATTAAAGGTAATACGGTAACTTTCCATTCGTTTGAAATGTTATGTTTTCGATGTTTCAGGACTTTCGAACTACAGTCTTTTCAACTTCTTCAAGTTAAAAATGTCCTTTAACCGTCAAAATATCGTAAATTCCTAATTACTGTCTCTCCTCCAGGTCCAATATATATCCTAGGATTGGTCCTTCTGATGAGCATCTTCTGCGCTCTACCGTACACTGGTGCCATGCATACAGACGGTACCATGCATACAGACTCCAAAGGCCCATTACCACCTCCGCCTCCTTATGAGGATGCATCCTCTCAATTAATCAACACAACAGTACTCATCATCGATCTGACCATGCCAAAGAAATGTTCTTTCCCGAATTAATCCCTGATTGATTACTATCATGTCTTTCTCTCCGGATATAAATGACCTTCGACATTCCTTCTCACAGAAAACCTTGGCAACGATCCAAGTCGGTGACCACCCCCTCTCGATTCTGCGGTCACTATCCCTCCTCCTCCTCTTTTTGTTTCACCCCGCTGCTATCACTCGACCAGATCGGCCTTGTGGCTGCCCAAGTCAACTGAAGGAGGTCATATTTGTTCTCCTCCCCAAGAAAACTGTCAGCCGTTTTTTTTTCCGCTATACCTGCACCCATACAAATCAAATATGACTAATTCTTTCGCTTTTGTCCTATAATCTATTCTCCCAGGTTCCCAAGAAAAAACTATATATGGAAACTTATATAGAAGCGCCTTTAATTGGAAACATTCCTTACATTTTTTTCTACTGATCTGACAATACCAATTTTCTTCTTCTTCTCGATTTTTCTTCTATTTTTTCTTCTACCCATCAAAAACCACTGATACTAATTGAAGGTTATCACTGATATGCCGTCGACTAACTTGATCAAGAGAGACTGGGAGAAGGACCATGTCTACCTGGTGCAATTCCCAAGAGCCGGGATGATCCCATCACCATCTCCATACGCATTCAAGTTGGAGACATTCTTGCGTGTGGCGGATATTCCGTATACGGTAAGTCTCCATATGTGTCGAAACTACCTCCGGCTGCCCACGTCTTCGGAACAGCTAAGACTGTATATGAGGCTCCTGGACGTTTCAGAACCCGACACTTCAAAACCCGACGTTTCAGAACTTTTCTGCATTTTTGCATAGTGGAAAAAAATTTAGAAAAGTTCTGAAACGTCGAGTTCTGAAAGATCGTGGTTCGGAAACGTCGTGGTTTCGAAATTTCGAATTCTGAAACGTCGAGTTATGAAGCGTAGTGGTTCCGAAACGTCAAGTTTTGAAACGTCGTGTTTCTGAAATGTAGAGTTCTGAAAGGTCCAGGAGCCAGAGCTGTGCCACTGTCGGGTGCGGCACTTTGAGTCCTTCTGGGAGCAGTAGGATACGGTGGCAATTGGTCCACGGCAATATACCCACGGCCAGAGTCATGGCTGGTCCCAATTTTCCCACCCTTAACTATAACTCTTTCAGAACATTAACAACGAGTTCAGCAAGATGTCCGCTCGCGGTCAAATCCCATTCATCGAGCTCAACGGACGTCAGCACGCCGACAGCACCATCATCATCGATAACCTCATCGAGCACTTCCACAAATCCGACCTCGAGGATCTCTCTCAGGCAGACAAGGCTGTCGCAAGAGCCTTCTTCGCTCTCACCGAACATCATCTCTGTTGGGTGACCCTCTATTCCAGAGGTCAAGACTTTAGCTGGCTGGCCACTAATGGCGGATTCGGAAGACTTTTAACGGGAATCAAGGGCTTCGCCTTCAAGAATTTCATCGTCAAGCGGTTCACCAGCAAGGTCCGTGCTCGTGCTGCTGCCCAGGGAATGGGAACTTTCTCGAAGGAAGAGGTTCTCGAGCAAGCCAAGAAGGATCTCGACGCGCTGTCTGTGCAGTTGGGAGAGAAGAAGTATCTCTTCGGGAACACCATCAAGACGGTTAGTCCCTTTAGTCCCTTCGATCCTTGTTCTTATGCCAATGTCTTCAGATCGACGTCACCACGTTCGCCCATCTCGCCGAACTCATCTACACACCACAATTCAGTCCAGAAATCGCGACTCATCTTGAGGAGAAAACTCCAAATCTGCTGGTCTACGTCAAGAACATTCGCGATCAATACTGGCCAGACTGGGATGAGACCACGGAGACGATGAAGATGGACACGGTGTGGAAGAAGGCCTAGAATCTCTAGGCCTTCTAGATGTGGTCTAATCAAAATGTATAAAATCCAATTGACACAAGTATTCGTTTTCATCTATTTTTCCAATTTATGATTTTTCTCTTTTTGCCTATGCCCACCAAAGTTTATTTATCACAAAAGAGAACCATTCCAAATAAATGATAAATGCTTCAAAATCGATTTTGTTCTAGAAAATCGGTATGGATTACTGTATGAGCTACTTGTTGGTTCGGATTCTTGTAATCACCCAAATTCCTTCTTCAGATGCCTCAAAAATTAGTGAAAAGCGAGTGGGAACAGGACAAGGTGTACCTAATTCAGTTCCCTAGAACCGGATGTCTTCCAAGTCCATCTCCGTACTCGTTGAAGTTGGAGACCTGGTTGAGAATGGCTGGGATTGATTATGAGGTAATCTCTTGAACTAGTTTGGCATACAGTACCGGTCAAATAAGAAATCACATTTTTAGCGCTTCTAGGAACCGAGATAAAGTCGCTCAAGTTCAAGAGACTAGAGACGCAGAGGACGACACACACACTGCGTCTCTAGCCTCGAAAACTTCAAATGACCGTATTTCGATTTCTAGATGAGCTAGGAAGTTAGATTTTGGACAGAATTACACGGTTTCAAAGATATCAAAACGATGTCTACAAATAAATTGTTTATGATAATATCACCAATATCTTATCAGTTAACAGCGTTTTGCTGGAACCAAGATAAAGTGACTCAAACTTGACAGGAAGGGGGCTCTTCTATTACAGGTGTTACGATATCCAAAAAAAGGGAATTTTCAGAACGTAAGCAATGAATTCAAGCACATGTCAAAACGGGGTCAACAACCGTTCATCGAACTCAATGGGGAGCAAATCTCAGACACCTCCATTATCATTGATATTCTTGCTGATAAGGTCAAAGGAAAGGAGCTGACTGAGCTCTCCACCCTAGATAAAGCCAAGGAGCACGCCTTCTACACGCTCATCGAACATCATCTCACCTTGCTTGGATTCTACTCTCGTAGTCAAAGTTTCAAATGGGGGAAAAGAAGTATTTGTTTGGTGAAGAACCAAAAACGGTTCGTTTTTGAGATTTTATCATAGTGGCCTAACTTTTGCAATTTGATTTTTCTAGGTCACCATCTTTTATGGGCTAAAAGTGGCCTGATATCCACCTTGTGTATTTTCTAGGTCATTTTTACATGGTGGCCTAACTTTTGCAAGTTGAGTTTTCTAGGCCACCTTGATTAATGACCTAGAAATACCCTAATATTCACCAGGTCTGTTTTCTACATCATTTACTATAGTGACCTGGAAAAATCGACTTGCAAGAGTTGGACCATTAGGTTAAATGACCTAGAAAATCCCCCAGGTGAATATCAGTTCATGTCTAAGCCAATTACCATGGTGGCTTAGAAAAATCCTCGTGCGAAAGTTAGACCACTATGTTAAAATGTCCTAGAAAACCCACCAGGTGAATATCAGGTCATTTCTAGGCCATTTAACATGGTGGCCTAGAAAACACAACTTGCGAAAAAGAGACCACTATGACAAAAATTTCCTAGGAGCTTCGCCAGTTGAATACCAAGTCCTTTTCGCGCTATAAAAGTTGGCGGCTAGAAAAATCAACTTTCAAAAGTTAGGCCACCATGTTAAAATGACCTAGAAAACACATACACCAAAAAATTTCAGATCGATGCTACTCTATTCGGTCATCTCGCTGAGATCCTATACACTCCTCAATTCACTAAAGAGATCAAAGAGTACATCGAGACGAATGCTCAGAATTTGATTGCTCATTCTAACCGAATCAAAGTACTGTACTGGCCAGATTGGGAGGAAATCGGGCAGTCGTTGAAGATGGATACCAAGTGGAGATAATTCTATATACCGTACTCTAAGAGAAGGCCATTCAAACAGTCAACTTTAAGCTCGTATATCTCAGTTCCTGTAAGAGATATAGAAAAGTGGTCAACTGACAAAATGTTTGTAATATTATCATAATCATTTTATCCGTCGACAACTTTTTCATATCTCTTCTACAGGAACTGAGATAGATCAGGTTAAAGTCGGCGGTTTGGGTGACCTTCTATTAGAGTTTTTACAGTAATTTTATTTCAAATAAAATACTAACCAGCAGATAATGAGCCACATCAAAGTAGGGATACATCTTGAGCCGGTGCAATTGAGCACCAGCATCCAGAAGGATCTCCTGGTCCAGCTGGAAACTCTCGGGAACCACCATCGTTTGAGGAGACGGTTGACCTGAAAATAAGAGTTTAGCAGACAATATCATATGTATCAGAAAGTTGATAAAATATTCATTCAGTGAGGTAAAAGGGGGGGAAATTGATAAGGGCGGGGGGAGTTCGTATTTGCGTCAATGGACTCCAAATTTGCCGAATTTTTGAACTAGAATTTGTACTTTTGGCATCTTTATGCGACTCTCTCGTTTCGAAGCAAAAAATGCGAAAAAAGAAGAAACTGAGCATCTTTTATATGAATCTCTATCTCTCTTTCTCTATTTCTCTCTCTCTTTCAATATCTAAAAACGGAAGGAAGTGAGTAGCATCTTTTTCGTAGACGTTTTCTATTTTTTTTACATTCAAAAGATTATCTCGGAAGGTTTTTTATAAAGGAAAAATCCACTATAAAAGGACCTGGAGATAATTATTGTCTGAGAATTTTTTTTGTGATTTTTTTGAAATTCTGTCTGATGGATATGAAGGTATGTGTTTTTTGGTACACAAAATAAGAAAAAAAATCAGTGAAAAGGGTCCCACAACGACAACTACCGTAACCTAAAAATAAGTTTATTTTTAGGATTTTTCTCGATTTTCGTGCGTTTTCAGTCAATTTTCCATTAAAAACAACAGAAAACTTGAGGAAAAATATCGAGGCTGTATTTCGAAAATTTTCAAAAAAAAGTTATTTTTGGGAGTCGAAATTGGAATTTTCAGATACCAAAATAGTAGTTTTGAGGATTAAAATATAGCATTTCCATGTCGAAAAATGGCATTTCTTTTCAAATGTGTGACTTTTGGGGCCTAGAATAGACATTTTTGAATGACCAAAACTAATTTTTTTCGGAATTTTTTCGAGAGTAAAAATTGACCTTTGTTCGATTTTTTGGAAAATTTTTAGACCTTTTTAGGTTTTTCAGCTGTTTTCAAAGATTCTTTTTCGATTTTTCCGGTTTTTTGTCTAAAATTTGATAGCACAGTTTTTGAATTACTGTAGATTACTGTAGAAACCCAATTTTCTCTGGTTATTTTTTTCAATGCGTGTTTTTTCTGCATTTTGACGTGATTGTGTTTGCAAAAAAATAAGAAAGGAAAAGGTTTTCTACAGTAATCTACAGTGATCAAAACACCGTTCCATCAAATTTCAGACAAAACAAGCCGGAAAATCGAAAAAGAAAATTCGAAAATAGCTGAAAAACCTAAAAAGGTCTAAAAAGTTTGCAAAAAATCGAAGAAAAAATCAATTTTTCTCTCGAAAGTTTTTGTCATTTCAACATCAAAAATTCCAAAAAAAAGTGGTTGTGGATTCAAAAATGCCTGTTTTAGACCCCAAAAATCACAATTTTGACATCTGAAATGCCACTTTTTCGAACTGGAAATGCTATATTTTAATCTTCAAAATCCCTATTTCGGTATCTGAAAATTCTAATTTCGTCCCCTTTCCGGGAAACTGGAAATGTGATTTTTTTTTTGAAATTCGAATAGAAATCCCTGAAATTCGATTTTTTCGCTTAAAATTCGGCTTTTCCGAATTCTGAAATTAAAGTTTTAAAAACGAAATTTTGGTTTGAAATTCGAGTTTTCGGCTTTAAATTTCAATTATCAAAAATTCCATTTTCAAAATTAAAGTTTCCAAAAAAATTAATAAAAACGAAGTAAACAAAAAGTGGGGCAAAAAGAGTCGTCTCTTTCTTTCTATCACAGGCCTCTCTCGCCTATCGAATCAGTCAGGAAATGAGACGTAGCGCAAAAGAACCCGAACTTTACACACAAACACTCTCTGAGAATTTCACTCTCTCGGAGCCGCCCAGATATATCTATATCGCTCTTGTGCTCAGCGGGAAAGAGATTCCCGTCACTTTCCGTGGCTAAGAGGTTCGACAGATGTTTGGCAGGAGAAGCTAGGAATCAATGAGGAGAAGAGGAAGAGAAACAACACTAATTTTTGTGGGTGGACAGGAAGAAGAAGTACATGAGTTTCCTCTCTGCTTACCTTTGCATCCTCCGCATCTTCTTTGGAAATCTGGAAAAAAATGCGATAATTCTAAATAAAAAAAGGCTGAAAAAGGAACAAATGATGGATATTTACTTCCGTTGAAGATTCATGAACAAAAATTCAGTTTAAAATTTTTAAAGGATTATAAAAATCAACAATAACAATAGCAAAAACAATGAAGGAACAATGAAAAACAAGGAAAATGAGTCAATTGGAACTACCAATTCAATAGATGAGCAACTGGATGGATACGAGTGACGACGTTGCTGGCGGTGAATGCGTCGGATGTCTCTTCAATCGCCGCTTCTAGACGGGAGAATGTGCCGACGAGGGATTGCTGGAAAAATGGGTTTTTTTTAGGATTTCGAGAATTCGAGATTTCAAGATTCCAGGTTTCGGGATTCCAGGATTCTAAGATTCTAGTATTCTAGGATTTTAGGATTCTAGGGTTCTGAGATTCTAGGATTCTAGGGTTCTAGGATTATAGGATTTTGGGATTCTAGAATTTCAAGATTCCAGAATTCTGAGATTATAGTTTCCAAGGATTCCAGGATTCAAAAATTCCAGGGTTCCAAAATTTTAGGATTCTATGATTCTACGATTCTAGGATTCTAGGATACTAGGATTCTGGGATTCTAGGGTTCTAGGGTTTTTAATAGAATCCAAGAATTCCAGGATCCTATTATTCCAGGTTTCGGGATTCTGAGATTCCATGATTCCAAAACTCTAGGTTCCAAGGATTCTAGGATTCTAGAATTTCCGGATTATTATAGTGTCTAGACTCATTAAGGGTCCAATATCCCTAAATTATCGCCTAAACCCGCTTCTTCGCTTCTTCTGTAATAGAAGGGTTCCACACTGCCAAGTTTGAGCTCACTTATCTCAATTAACGTAAAAGATATCAAAAAGCGGTCAACTGATAAAATATTGGTGATATTGTGATAAGAATTCTATCAGTTGGCAACTTTTTATATCTTTTACAGGAACCGAGATAAATTAGCTTAAAGTTTAAAGTTAGAAGGGCCCTTCTATTACGGGTTTTACGGTAGACCAAACTCTCACCATTTCAATGAAAAAATTGCTGACGGTGGCAAACTTCTGATGCAACGAATCCTCATAAACAATGCGAGACCCATGCGCATCCATGAGTACCGTAATCAGTGACAACGCCTTCCCGCAAATATCATCTTCTCTCATCTCCTTATAGATTTGTGTCAGTGCTGTCATGATTTCGATGGCTTCAGATACAGTAAGAACCTCGGCAGTGGCCTCTGTCATTGGTTTTTTCGAGAAGTTTCGAGAGAGAACTTGAATCACTTGGTCTCGTCGTTGGTCTTCTGGTTTTCTGGAAAGTATTTTTTCAAGAATAGGAGGTTATTTTCTAAACTTACTCAGCTGTTAACTTCAACAATTCTGCCAAAATGTGCTCTGAAACCACTCTAGCCGAATCATTCAACACAACTTCAACGACATGATTCTTCTCCTTCTCCACACATAATCTCAAAAATGCATCCTCATTTCTGAACGACAAAATGCGAGCGTTGACGACTGCTTCCAGCATCGAATTCAGCGTCTCCGCATCCGAGTCCACGTCATCCGAATACTTTCGAATGGCTTCCATGAGTTGTGTCTGCTCAATTGCTGATAGTGCTCCACTGGCCTCTCCATTCGAACATTCTCCCAAATTCTGAGTCAATTGTTTCCATCGTTTCTCTTTTTGTGGATTTTCAATGACATTTTGAATCGATTTGATCACTGATTTGATATCAAATGTGTCCACTGGATTGACTGCGAATGATGAGAATGTTTTGGTTTTTGAAGTGGCTCCGAGTTTAGCAATTGCAGTGGCAGTCAGCGAGTCGATTTTGGATTTTCTGAAAAATCGAATTTTGTGACTGAAATTTGAGGAAACGTTTTTTTCGTTACTGAAGATTACTGTAGATTAAAATTGTCAGAAAAAGTGATTTTTGGGGGTCGAAATAGGAATTTTGAGGATTAAAACACAGCATTTCCAGGTCCAAAAATTGGCATTTCAGACGTCAATATTGTGATTTTTGGGGTCTAGAATAGGCATTTTTGAATCCAAAAACACCCTTTTTTGGAATTTTTGATGCTAAAATTGCAAAAATTTTCGAGAGAACAATTGATTTTTCTTCGATTTTTTTAAAAAATGTTAAGACCTTTTTAGATTTTTCAGCTATTTTTAAAGATTATTTTTCGATTTTTCCAGTTTTTTGTTTGAAATTTGATTTAAAGTCGTGAAGATTACTGTAGATTACTGTAGAAACCAATTTCCTTCTGATTTTTTTG